GTTTTGCGAGCGTTAAGTACCACTTTTTAACTCACGGACTAGGGCGGTAAAGTGATCTTAGCGCCCACTATGTATGAGTTACTGAGAAACATTGCAATTAAGGGTGTAACAGAAACGTCCACACTTGTAGGATTGAGTTGCAGAATTTCCTACAATTGGAAATGTTTCACTTACTTGGTAATGATAGTATAATAGTAACTTCGCTGTCGTTGAGATTTCTATATTGTTCCGCTTTTTTAATTTATGAGGTAACACGCCAAAAAGGATATTTGTTTCCTTTGATTTAGGTCAAAAATTGCATCTTAAGTTCAAAAACAATAATTTTTAACCTACGGGCTAGGGCGGTTAAGTGATTTTAGCGACCGATATGTATGAGTTAGCTTAGGAATCCTAAACAATATCAGTTCCTTCCAACAATGAAGTTCTGATAGTCCGGAATGGTCATTTACAGATCAGTTCAAATCGTAACTAGACAACATAATATCATTAATTTATTTGGATGACTGTATCTGGCAGTCTCTGATTGTCAGAAATTCCATGTTGGAAATAAAAGAACCCGGCGACCACGATAATGGTCTTTATTTATTATAACAGCGTGACTATTGATGGCAGTGGCGGATCCAGGGGGGAGGGAGGGGGGCAGGTGTCCTGGAGGTTCGTAACCCACCTCGGAAGTATCCCAGTTTAAAAAAAATTGGAATTCATTTTCTGGTTTGCTGACGACCCCCTCCCTCGATCTTCAATTTTCAACTTCCTGGTCCAAATCCTGAGCACCTACCCTCCTACCCAAGCCCCAAAAAATTTCAATTCATCAGCTGGGCCCTCCTCCAAATATTTCCCAGATCCGCCCCTGACTGATGATGCAATAATATCCAATTCGACCCCTCACTTAGTCCAATATCTGGATACTCTGACCTGACCGCTGTGTTAGACAATGACGAATAGAGAGAGTGATATAATTCAACTTGCTATTCTAATATTTAATTTTGGCGGGTTGCAGTTAAACTTTTTATGTGCGTATTTTCACAAATATATGTCACAAGTTTTGCGCTGATACCTTTCAGTCTGGAAAGTCATCCAGAATGAAGATTTTCATACTTTCAAAAATCTAGAGACAAGAATAATGCATTTTCTTCAATTTGATCTGTTCGCCCGATGAGTTTGACATGCGTATTCACCACTTTTATTAAATTTCGGTTGCAGATTTAGCGGAATAATAAATATTAGTAATAATAACTATAGACATCTTTATTTCATCACAACAATATTGTAACGGCGAAATTTAGTATTTGCTACCCTTAAATTTAACCATAAAGTCCTGGCAGATGTTAACAATAATGAAATATACTAAGTGACATATAAATCCGAACACCCAGTTTAAATGGTTTTATTTCAATAAATTTTGTATAAGTACTTAATGAAGCATAATAAGTAACTGATAAAAATTTTCAAAATGATTGCACTGCTTTAAAGCCCTTTGACCTTAATAATGTGTGGATGCACCTGATGTGCTACGCATTCTCCAACGCGCCTAGGCATGCTTCTGATCAGGTGGTCAATGTCCTCCTGTGGTATCTTATTCCAGGCAACCACCAACTCCTCTCGAAGTGTTTCTAGAGTCTGAGGAGGACGTTGCAAATTGAGCAATCTCCTACCCATCATATCCCACACGTGCTCAATTGGGGATAAGTCGGGAGATCTTGGTGGCCATGGTAACAATGTGACATCATTATGTTGAAAGAAGTCTATTGTGACTCTTGCAACATGTGGTCGGGCATTATCTTGTTGGAAAGTTGGATCTGCCAGGGTGTCAAGATGGTGTCAAGGGTAAAAGATGGGGTTCTAGAACTTCGTAGATATAACGCTGCGCGTTCATGTTACCTCTGATGAAGATTAAAGGTGACCTGGAACCATAAGCTATAACACCCCAAACCATAACTCCAACAGTGTGAAGAATATGTCTTTCAACAAAAAACTGTGGATTCCTCCTTTCACCACGTCGCCTTCTAACCCTGGCACGACCATCGTGCATGCCTAAACAAAATCGAGACTCGTCACTAAAGACAATACTGTTCCATTCCTGATCCAGAGTGACCGTTGTCTGCACCACTCAAGGCGATTACGTCGGTGTTCTCGAGTTAAAGGGAGGACCCAGTGTGGCCGGTATGAAAACAAGCCAAAACTTCTCATTCGTCGGTAAACACTTCGCATGCCAACAGGTCTTCCGTGTTCTGCAAACCATTCATTTGCAATGGACCTGGTAGTGGAGAAACGGTCCCTTAAGGCCAATAATCTTAAGGGGCGATCTTCACGGTCTGTTGTTCTACGGCGGCGTCCAGTGCCCCTTGCTCTTGCGTACGGCCTTCTCGAAGCCATGCCTGACAACACCTAACCACAGTGTCTACACTTCTTTGCACTGTAACTGCAATTGCCCGAAAAGAAAGTCCAGCTTCCCGAAGTCCCACTATACGGCCCCTATCAAACTCACTAAGTTGATGAATCGTACAGGTCTCCGTACTCTAGGCATCGTAACCGATCGTAAAGGATGTCAAGAACCAAAATCCGCCAACGTTGATTCTTTACTGCGGCTGAAATATTCATTTTTAGAGCGTTAGTGAATTAAAAAAAAAGCAGTATAAAAACCGGAATGTCCAACTGATAAGGCTGAAAATTTTTTCACTTCTTATTTACAGTAAGATAAATACATTCACCAACTTTATTAAATAAAACCATTTAAACTGGGTGTTCGGATTTATATGTCACTTAGTATATAACTATTCACAACAAATTTAAACTTTTAGTAATTAATTATTATAATAAAAGGAAAACAAAGTACACCAAAAAATAGAAGAGCAAAAATGATCATTAGAAAGGTAAAAAAGCATGATTGTTTAGGGCCATATAGTAGTCAGTCATGTCCTACAATTTATTGTAGGACGCCTTTATGGCCTCCATGATTTTCATAGTATTTTCCCTCCTTCAGAAAGGCTAGAATATTGTGAGGTTATATTTCCTTTTTGAAATGTATGAAATTCCAGGCTGATAAAACAGATGACAAAAATAAAAGGCATGAACAATTTGCAATAATAATAATAACCTCAAGATAAAGTGCTGACACGGAATACGTCTAAATTTCTGAAGGACCGGAAAAACTATGAAATCAAGGAGGCCATAAAGGCAATTGACGATACGGCCCTTACTAATCCAATGGAAGTAATGATAATTTCACTTTTTGTCGAAAAGCTGGTGATGAGTATTGTTTATACAATTTGGGATGAATTGTATATGTTGGCAGCATTGTAGGAGAAAACTGCGTGTTGAAATAGGGTTGTTGAATACTGAGGTATCCTGATGAATTTTTTTTCGCAAGTAAGGCGGTTCAGTCGTAAGTAATAATTCATGGAGTAGTGATATTTAAACAAATCATTTATTTCAACCGATTGAGTATTGGATAGTTTTCTGATACATGATCATGCCGAGCCCAAAAATAAGACGAACACAGATATTTGGATGATTTAAATTAGGTCTTGGTATAGATTTTGACACTGGATGTAGTAAGAAAATTTTTCAAAAACCAGCCATGAAAAACAGTTTTTTGAGGCAAACAAAAGTACTTTTAAATAAAAAGGTCATAGGGAGAGTTGAGAAAAGATTCTGCTACAATTTATGTAGGAGTGGGTAGTTTTCACCTTTCTTGAACCCCTTCGGTTTTTTTTTGTAAAAGTCAAATATTAGAACGTCCTAACAGAACGTGCGTTCCAAATTTCATTCAAATTCGACTATCGGTTTTTAACATATCTTAAAGAAATGTGTTTTAAAAAGAAAACTTTGACGTCGTCTAACGGGGAAAGAAAGCACTTTTGCATAGAGGTAAATAACTCCAATCGCCTTATTTTGAGTCTAAAAATACGTGGTACTTCTATGTACACAGAATATTAGAGCACCCTGTATATCACCGCATCGGTACCCAGTACTCGACATCCCAATCTCACCGAGTACCGAGTACTCGGGTTTGAAAAAGTAGTACTAGTACGGTTGATATAATGTACTTTTATGTCTATCTAAACCAGAGTTCCCCAAACTTTTTTGTGTCGTAGACCCCTTTGCCATGTTTTTTCGTGTTGGGTAGACCGCCTACTTACCTGATATGATTTCCTGTAAATTTCTAACTGTAGTGAAGTTTAGTGTTAAAAACTTAAAGTAAAAACACATGTTAATTTATACATTTATTAATTGAATTTAAATTAAAACTACTCAAAATGAAATTTTGTATCTGTTATGTAAATATACGAACATTAAATCAACAGGTGTCTGAGCAATAAGTTCCGCATTGGGAATAAGTTCCCGCATTGAAAAAAAAATAAGAGGGATAAAATAAAAAAAAGTGAAAATGATAAACAAAAGTTTTTTACTTAAAATAGTACAATAAGCGAGTTCGTTATTAATTATAACATAAACGTATGTTCTACAATAATTTCACTGTTAGTTTGATTAAATTCCGCTTCTTATACGTTTAAGTTATCTAAAAATAGGCAAAAATTAACGAATTTTAGTGTGTACGTATCCTTGAATTTTCAGAATAATTTAAAAAAAAATATTTCCTATAAAGGGGGGTTCTTTAGAAAAATCAATGCGGGCACTTATTCCAATGTGGGCGTTTATTGGTCAGACACCAATAAACATATAATAAACTATAAATAAAATAACATAAGCAATAAGTCAATATTTTTAGTGAGAAGGATGAACCTGATGCTTTAATAATAAATTATCAACATTTGGCGTCAATTCTGTAAGGGTTAATCTTAATCTCCTCGGCTAATGATGTCCAGTCTGTTTTCTTTTTTTCGTTAGGAGATTGGTAACAGCGCTGAACCCCCTTTCCACTAGGTATGACGATGGAAAGGAAATTAAACATTTCTTCGCTATATTCCATAATACGGATAAGTAACGGGTATGTTGTTTTGCAGTCAGAATTGCTGATATCCGTTTTTAAACTGAACCTTAAGTTCTTCGTTTGTACTTAGTTCAGTCAGTTCCTCTTGTATTATGACATTCGTTTCTTCTATGTCACCATATGGATTAATTATCCACGGTGGTATTACCATAGTCAAAATATCCTCAAACCTAGATTCAAAATCTGAATAGAGGGCATTTAAATGTTGAACGTAAGTTGAAACGGTGTCTTCCTGGCAGCTTGTCTGTGACAAATTGGGGAACTGAGAAATATTTTGCTTCATTAGTTTAACTCTGGCAAGAAACGCTGATAAGATGGACTTTGTTTTAATCAAATTTAAACTATCGCCTTGTAATTGCAAATTAACTATATTAAATTTTGTAAACAAATCTGTTACATAGGCGATGTCTGTTTCCTCTTCAATTAAAATTTTCTTTAAAATTTTATCTTTAGTATCCAGAAATTCTAAAATAGCTCAAAAAGTGCAAAAAATCTTGTCAAACATAAGCCTTTCGACAGCCAGCGTACGTCAGTGTGAAGGAGTAATTGATGAAAGTGTTCGTCATTTTCACACAACTGCGCAAATAACCGCGTATTCAACGCGTTGCTTCGGATTCGGTTTACTGCATCAATGACTAAATGAAGTGATTCATGCAATCTAACACTCAAATTTTTAGCAACTAAATGTTGTCGATGGATGACGCAATGTATTGCTAACACCCCTGACACATTTTGTTTAAATAGCTTATAAATCCACGATAACGCCCAACCATGGCAGGTGCTCCATCTGTAGCTAATGATATTATATTTGATAAAGGAATTGCTTTTTTCAATGAAGTAATCCTTCAAACATGAAATATTGATTCACCTTTAGTGTCGGTTATCAAAGTTTCTTGCGAAGAGCAGTTCTTCGTAGATTTCTTGATTCATATAAAACGAACATATGCCAATATTAATGCTGTATTATCAGGTAAAGTTGACTCGTCCAGTTGTGTAGAGAAATGGGTCGTTTGCAAATTACATAAGAAGCTTTCAATATCAGAACTCATTTCATCAATACGTCTTTCAACAGTATTGTTGCTTAAGGGAATTCTTTTAATGATATCAGATGCAGGTTTTGTGTAAAACAGTTTTTAAAACCTCTTCAACGGCTGGCAAAATTAACTTCTCTCCGATAGTATGCGGTTTTCCGGATTTTGCTATAAGTAACGAGATATTGTAAGACGCCCGCAAACCATCATCATTTTTTGTGACGTCGAAGCGAACATTCTGTCCAGTGTAGGTCTCTTCAGAAATTTATCTTTGAGTGTTTGAAAGTATTTCAAATCTTTCTCTGTTTTATCAGGGTGGCATCTTCTCAGATGATCTTGCAGTTTAGATGGTTTCATAGCGTCATTACCCAAAACTTTGTTGCATAAAAGGCACATAGGCGATTGTTTGTCCGGCAATGATGGAATGAAGCCAAATTTCAAATAATCAACACTGTACTGTCTACATTTCTTTTTAGATTCGGACATGGCAACAGTTATCTGTGGGCAAAATTAAATTATTTAATAAGACGGAAAATCCAGCAGCTGTATATTAAAAATATTTTTGGATTTTTCCGAAACATTCCATAATTCGAACATCTTCTGCAACAATTAGCTCGAATTACGGATGTGTTATTATATTACCGATTGCTAAAACTTTCAAAAGAAACTATTGAGGAGTACTCGTGTAATTTTGCATGATTGAATATTTAACTACTAATAACTAAAGTCATGATTGGCGTAATTTATCTATCTTTGCTACGAGTACAAAACTAAAATTTAATAAAAAATAACGTACTACTTTTCTCCAGCACTCTCAAACAAAATAACACTGACTCACCATAATTTGTGTGATATACTATCTGTTTATATTTTTTAAATATTTCCTTAGCACTTTCCTTTACAAGATTCAGGAAACGAATAAACGTATTTGTCCCACATTCGTATTTATAGAGTGAACGAATTGAACAAGTCAGTGCAAGGTAGCGAAGCTCTGAGACTGCGACTCTCAGGTTTTTACAAGTTCAAAATGTATTGCGACCACAAAGCGAATACCAACATCCTACAACTGACACTATTTTATAAACATATATAATACATTTTTTACTTCATAGGTACTTTTATAAATAATGTATATGTTTTTGATATATAAGATAGTATATGTAAGTAAATAGGTACTATCAGTGTATGTGTGAGATCCACTATCGTGGACCCCCATATTCATTTCATGGACCACCCAAATTTTTTTTCGCTGACGTAGAACCCCTTGCAGGTTGTCATAGATCCCTAGGGGTCGATATAGACCACTTTGGGAATCAATGATTTAAACATTACCCTCGGGTATACAATACAAGCGTTTGTGACTCCTGTCGTTCTAGAGGCCACGATGCCTACCCTTCACTGCTATTGGCTTCTAATTTCAGGCAAAGGGCCATAAATGCTCACGTTACACCCCAATTAGTAGTAGTAGGGTTGGGCAGGCGACACCTGACAGCTACGCCACCTTTGATCCTTTTTGCGATAGTTAAATAAATAACTACTTTTGTAGGACGGAAAACTAGAATTTCTCTCCCAGTCGACGATTTCTCAGAAACAGAAGACTCGAGCGGCAGTAAAGAAGACAAGTCGTTTCTCCGATGCCGGCGTTTTGGACAAAGTTTTGGTGAAACCGGGAGGAGACGAGTGAAAGAAGGTGATGCTCTTTTTGTACTGATCGCGATGAAGATGGAGTACGTTGTCAAAGCGAATAGAGAGTTAAAGATTGAAAGCGTGTTTTATAAACCTGGCGATAATGTTGCAAAAGATGCTGTTATAGTGAAATTTGAACGCTGAGAAAGAAAATGTATGAATATAATAAAATGTTTATTAAATCAATTTTTTATAAGATGGGAAGAGAGTATTTTTTAAAAACCTTGCAGTTGAATATCAAATCAAAAACCCAAAATTTCTGGCAGACGCAACTTTCTTCAAATGTCTCTCATGGGGTCCTGGGCGCAACTCAGATCAATTTCTCTCAATATTTCGTAAATTCGTCGCCTTAATTATTCTTCATCTTGGACCTTCAAGCTTCCATGATAAACCTTCCTAGACAGTGAGCTCAAAGTCCTGTAGTGGGCTTGTTGGATTATCGTTCTTGGAACAAAAGGTATGCTGTTTCCGAAGCCATTTGTAAGTAAACATACTTTTGTTTCCAAATGCAACTTGATATTATTTTGTGTTTGTTAAAATTAAAGCCAATGCTTACGACATACCTCATTACAAAGGTTTTTTTAACTTTATTTCATGGTCCATTTTTGAAATAATATCATGGAACAATAGATTCGGTCTTTGGTTTGCTAGTTATACTTATCAAGTTAGCTTCATCCTACAAAGTCGCTAAAATTTATTTATCCGATTTTTAAACTTCCACGTCCCTTGTTATATCAGAATGCTACTTAAGTATTTAAAGCCTTGATAGGTATGTAGGATTCAGATCTTCAGGAAGCCCGAGGACGCACCTACACCTAAATCCTTATTAAATTCTTGTGCGACATGAGCTTTTTGAAGATAACTTTGAAACTACTTTCAGGTGACCTTGAAGTAGGATCGGGCAACACAGAAACCTATAAAAAATATTATTTTCATTTTTTCTCAGTGGTTTGACCTTGAAACGACCTTGAAATATCTAAACGATGGTGATCTTGAGGAAGAAAACGAATGGCATTCTTTCTCAGCGGTTATATCTATAGGAGCTTAAGGATTCAAAATAAAAGGCTGCTTTGTGCTGTCTATTATTTTATTAACACTATTACGAGATGCTAGATCCTTTACAGCTCTAAATAAAATGCAAGTCCAGCTTGTATCCATTTATCCTTGTTCTTTCCTGTCGATAGGCACTTGGAAAAACGCCAATTTTTGCTGTTGTCTGACGTCGTGTATAAGGGCACTTCTATCTTATCTGTCTCCTCGATAGATATCTGAAGACAGATAATAAAACAATATGAAAATTGGCGTCAGGTAGACTGATTTCCTACGCAACGCCGTTAACAGTCATAACGCGTCAGACCATCCGAGAGAAAAGTCAGTCAAACAGACCCATACAGTTAGGCTTTAGACGTTATTTCCCTGCCTTACCGGTATTGCATGTGGAAACGTCGCTTCTTCCCGAAACTTATTCCCGTTAGTCGTGACAGCGCGGTCAGAGAACATAGGAAACACTAATCAAATCCAAGCGAATAACCAAATTTCTGTGTTATGTGCCGCGGTTATAATATGGTTCAAGATGACACACGGGTTGATGACGTCAGTTACCACGATCGCTTAACGCGTTGGTTTTTAACCGCGATTTTGTTGCAAGTGTTATTTTAGAAAAGCGCGTATATAATCTCTGATTATTCTTATTATCACTTAATAATCGGTGCTTTTTTCGTCTACACTGTATATGGAAAGTTTAAATAAGAAACCTTTCATAATATTCATGGGAGAAATGTTTTTTCAGATTTTTTTTTTAATGATGGAACCATGGCTTTGTAGCTATGATAACTTTTCAGTTCTCTAAATTTTTCCGCATGTCAAAGAAAACATTTATTGATTCAGCAGAACTGATGAAAAAAGAAATTAGCAAACCGTATACAGGTGGATATCATCTAGTGAGTTTTATATGGCCATATTTTAATATTCTTGTGGTATATGGCTACATCACAGGATACTTTATTAAGCATAGGAACTACATTTTAAAGTGTCCCCACAAACCGTAATGAGTATAAACTAATAAGGTGCTCCACTTTATGGTAAAACTGAAGTCAGCCTGTATCATTTTTCCCAAAATTGAAGCTGAAGTACAATAACATATCCAATACCCGGCAAAATTCTAACTTGTCACATTGCAATAATAACCAGAAATATAAAACTACTCTTGAGTTGGGTAAATACACACAATTTTGCGGTCGATAACTATGACATAGAACAGCTGATTCGTGACGCTACGGATCTTATAACCAAACTGATAACTACATCGCCTTGAACGGATTGGTAAATACCAACCAAAATGGTAAATACCAATTTCCATTTGGTTATCCGCTTGAATTTGATTACTGTTTGTTGGGAGCGGCAGAGAATATCGCGCCGGGAGCCGCAGCCGCAGCTGGAAGGCACGCGGTCCGTCTGCTGAGAATATTTTAAACGGGGATCCTACAATCACGAGCACCATCTGCTGAGGGTAACGGGGGGGTGACTTTGTGTTGGTGTTGAATGTACTTATCGTGCATTCACGGAGGATAAGGGTTGACAGCGTCTCGATTTGGTGAGGTTTGTAGAAGGAAGGCAGACAGGTACTAAACAAGTTCTCTAGTAATCCTCCAATCATATACCCAACAGAGTTTTTTAGTAACACAATAAAAAGGCAATACAAAAATCATTGGACATTGGACACCAGTCAGTCTTGTGGTTTGTTTATTGATCGCACACATCCATTTCTGGCAGCATCGCCCCATCTACCTGTTACAGTAGACAAGAAATGTACTTAATACAGGTATAAGCCTACCTGTTTATTGCTTTGCAAAAACTACCTAACTGTTTCCTCTTATTTTGACGGCATAAGATATTTTTATGACTCTCATTCAATTGTTACCATGTACCACATGACCCTTGTAAACATAATTGTGTTTACTGACATGAATAAACGAATTGTAATTTGAGTTCTTGAATTTATTTTAGGAAAGATATCAAATTATTTGAATACATTTTTTCTTAGTCGGAACGCACCGTCGCATCGCTTGGACTGGCAGGACGAAACAGTAGACGAATTTCGCCCAAAACCCGATTTGCACTTCACAGCTTTATTATTTCCAAATGAAACTCTTGCAGCGTGCTAAAAACAAAGTCCACAGGGTGCTAACGATCCACTTTTTCGATTTTATCCACTAGGATCTTTTTAAAATATCAAGAAGTTGAGC